TGTCGTTTGCAGATGCTAAGTTAAATTAATAAGATATAACCTTGGGCATTCGGCATCTTAGATGGTGCCTTTCCTTTCTCAAAATCAGAAAGAACCAGAAGGCAAATAATGCTGGTTTTGCATCCCAGAAGGAAGAAGACACCATGCTGGGAAGTCTTCTTCCCAGATGAAAAAGCTTGAGATGATTCAGATATGATCATCCACCATGGCAACATGTTTCATGTGGATTTAATATGGTGTTAAGTACTATAAATATGTATTGAAGAATTTCATATAGGGCAGGTAAAGTCACTCACTCCAGCTACTTGGGAGTCAGAGATCAGGAGATTCACAGTTTGAGGCCAACCTGGGCAAAAAGCCTTCAAGACCTAGATCAAAAACAAGCCAGGCAGGGTGGTACACATCTGTAATCTCCTACTCAGGAGGAATAGGTAGGAGATTGGGAGTCTGGGGAAAAAAGTATGAGATCCTTTCTCAAAAATAACCAACAAAACAAAGAGGACTGAGAGCATGACTCAAGTAGTAGAGTACCTACCTAGCAAGCACAAGGCCTTGAGTTCAAATCCCACTACCACATAAAACAAAGTTAATGCAGACACTTAAAAAGTGCATCTTGACTAGTTAATTCAAACGTCCACTTAGGCTTTACATTCATCCTTTCAAAAAGTATTTGAAAGCTGTTTAGTAGATAAGTCATAGGAAGAGCTCAAAGTTCCTCCACCCCAAGATCCAGGGGGTAGGTTGAGGCAGACATGCAAAAGTAAGGTAAGACAGGACTCCACAACCAACAGAAAGGGAAAACCAGGCCCAGAGAAATTAGAGATCACTTTTAATAACTAAAGCATAAAGCTTCATGGGAACGGTGGAATTTTATTTGGTCCTTAAAGGAAGGGTAATACTATCAGTTTACTTTTTAAATCAGGACACTAAAATAATAGGTATTAAAAAAAAGACAAGGAGCACAAAAGGAAGAAATTAAAACAAGCAATATCCCTACCACTCAGAGACCACTATCGTGTGTTAGTGGGTTTTCTTCCACTCTTTCTCCTATTAAAAAAGGGGGTGAACTAAATCTCCCAGAATGCTTTTCTTCATTGTTGCAGGTGCAGCTCACTCACTGGAACGTCCCAGGGCCAGGAGGTCACCTGTCACTGACTTTCCCTGTGTGTAGCCAGTGCACACAGTTTTTTCTTTGTCTCCAGGAAATATTTTCAAATCAAAGACATCTTTGATTTGGTGGCTCGGTTTCACCATCAGAAGCCAGTTCCCTGCAGGCTTGTTTCTGTCCTCTGCCCACCTCATCTCTTCTCTTGGTTAATCATGACCTTTAATCTTTTCCCTGCGTTCTGAGAGAACTGGAGTTTGCATCCATGTCATCGATTCCATTTACCCCATCAAATCCCTTTTTGCTTTGTTTGGTTTGGTTTGAGATAGGGTCTTCTATATATTCCAGACTGGACTGGAACTCACGATTCTCCCACCTTTGCCTCCTGAGTGCTGGGATTACAGCACACATACAGGCTTCAATTCTGTTCTTTACTGTAGTCAGTGCAGATTTTAAACCTGCTGTGGTTTGTTTGTGTTGTCTTGTTTGTTTGGGTTTTGTTGTTGTTGTTTTTAGCTTCTTTACAACTGTTTTCCTATACCTTAGGTGACAGACCTATTGGGGTCACCTGTCCTTAATAACATTCTGAGTACCAATGTTTCCAAGAATTCTTGAAAACATTCTGTTTCCCACACTTATTATGGCTTGGTTTCCTATTTACATAGCTTTCTGCATTCTCAGTTGGCCTCCTGTCTCTTGCACATACTGTCACTTTTTTTAGTCACCTCACACCCTCACCAGTCCACACCACCCCAAACCCAAAGTACAATCAGAACCGGGGGGATGGTGTAGCCCATGTCACTAGAGGTTTACAGTGTGAAGCACGATGAGGAACTCAAAATAAAAATGACTATCTGTGTTCTCAACAATCCCTCCAGCTTTCCTGCCCCCAGGACCCCACCATCAGCCTCTCTTCTAGAAGATCCTAGCCTGTCGCTGGTGTAGGTGTTACCTGTACCTGTCCCCTCTGGTTGCCTTTTGCATCTCCCTCCCAATTCTTCCTAGCACACTATCCACCCTCTTCAACTCCTTTGTTGCTTCTTTTTGCTCTGGTCGATAGGATTGCACCTCTCAAACCAACACTAGCATCGAGGTATTTCACCATAAATGGTTCTCCCATTAGAGGGAAACTGGCACCAGGTTCTACACACCTGTACTCTGAAGAAAGCCCTCATACTGGGATTTGCACTATGGTCTCCCTGCTTCTCAGGCATTCAGACTCAGACTCAGACTGATCTACACCCCAGCTTTCCTGGGCCTCCAGCTTGGGGACAGCAGATGGTGGGAATCTGAGCTTCCAGAATCACATGAGTCAGTTCCTCCTGCTTGCTCATCTTCCCCGAAAAACACTGACTAATCCATGGACTGGCACCTGATAGGTCCATGGGTAACACAGACCCTGAGTCAGGGATGAGGCAGTGGCAGGTGCGGCAGTCTTTCCAGCAACTTTCTGGAGGAAGAGAGTCTTCCCTTTGAGGAAGCAAATTGAAGGGACCATGAAGAGTGAAGGCCCTGGTTTGACTAGGGCACCTCAGCTGACTTTAAAAATCTCATCCATTCTCTCGTCTTCTGGTGTAACATCAGCCTTTGTGTCAGCCTGCGTTTGATGTTGTAGAAACATTTCATTTATGTCTGCACCTCATGACATTTAACAAGTGGCTCCATTCAAGAGCCACTTTTTCAGGAAAAGCTCTGGATTATTTGTCAATCAAATATATGTATTTGTCATTTACATAATAGTTAATATCTGCCTAAGATTCTTCTTAGTACTTTAAAAATATTGCTTCACTTAATCTTCACAAGTACCTCAACCATGTGTGCCTGCCTCCCAATGTTTTTGTATGCATATGAACAAAACTGGGATCAGACTACATAAATAATTTTACATGGCCTTCCTCATATTCATTTTACAAACATGTTCTAAATGTTCTTATGAACATTTAAAAAATATATTTTCAAACAGAGATTTTAGCGGTGGCCTAATATATCAAATAAATGGAGCAAAATTGGTTTAACTTTTTAAAATTTGTCTTCTTCCCTATTTTTCATTATTATTATAAAATCTTTGCAGTTCTTATTTTTCCTTAGAGTTAGTTTTTAAAACAGAAATATCTGGGTCAAAAGGATGACCTTGGAATCATAAATACTCCCTTTAGAAGCAAATGAAAATGGCAGTTTCATGGCATCTTCCCCAGCCCGAAGTATTACTCCTCAATGCCTTACAAAAAATGCACTGGGGTTGACAGAATGGTTCAAGCTATAGAGTGTGAGGCCCTGAGGTCAAACCCCAGTACCACCAAAAAGAAAAAGACTACACTAAAGAGAGCTTTTGGTTTACAGGAATGAGGGGTGTGTGTGTGCATGTGTGTGTGCGCACTGGAAAGTAAGTAAAGCAAGAGATAGAAAAAGTATAGTTGATAAGCAATGTTTAAGAAGTGCTAAAACTGTTCAGGTGAGACGTGGCATAACCCTATCCAACTGTGAAAAGCAGTTGGCACCAGTATCTCTACTTAAGGAAGACAGGAAAACCAGACCACTCTGTATTACAATCAATGGCAAGAACATCTTTTTATCACTCATCATTGTTTACCCAATACTAGTTTAGTGCCTACTTTGTGCCAGGAAGTTGGGAATAAAGAAATGAGTGAGATCAAGTCCTTGCTCCCAAGAGCTCACTATAAAACAAAGAAAATGAATATGCAAACAAATAATTACCCTGGAAGTTGATAAGCACCATCCCAAAGACATCAATAAATCCATAAAGAAGGAAGAGATAGGAGCTAAGTTTGCAGTGCAGAAAAGGGGAGGAAGGAGTTTCCAGTGAGAACAAAAAACTTGAACTCAACCCCCATAGGTCAGAGTACCCCAACTGCTGTGCCACGCATGGCCTCATGTGCCAAAATACCCATCACTCCACCTACAGGACGGCCACATAGGACCCAGGCAACCCTGGGTTAGTACCTTCCAGCCCTGAGCAGCCTCAGTCTATATTCCCATGGGCCACAGATATATAATTTTCTTCATTGCTGGGATGTGGAAAATGTTAGAAAGCATGTCCCAGGCAGCTGAAAGGTGACAGAGCTTTACAAGGCAGAGTAATAATAAAACCCCACTCCTGTAATCCCAGCACTTGGAAGGTTAAGGCAGGAGGATCTGGTGTTCAAGTCCTATCCCTGAACCTCCGCCCAACCCAACTATGCATGCACTCCAGAGAGTACCAGTTCGCACATGCTCAGTAGATACCATGCAAAGACAGCTGGTTAAAGTAAAACCAACTCCCTGAAGTCCTTGTAGTGTGTCATTGAGCCATCTCCCTCTTAACCAACTCCCAAGGAGGAGAGATGGAGAGCTCAGCTACCCTATGTGTGGACTTCCAACTGTCATAGGGTTTTAGGTTTACAGAAAGTTTAAGATAAAAATGCTCTTTGGAAATGTGACATATGAACCTGATGCCAATAGTCACTTGGGTCTTAATTTGAGGTCATTTAATTAGGTGCCTTTTTCCTAACAACTAGTTGGTATCCTTGCCCTGAAGAGACAAAGTTTCAGTAACAGATGAGGGGTGAGAATAGAGGGTTGAGAGAGAATAGTGCCGGCAACCTGAGTGTGCTTCATAGCAGCACAGCAGAGGAGAGGGAAACCTCAAGGTGTAGGAGGAAGAGGTGACAGAAAGCAGAAATGAGAGAAGACCAAGCACAGCAGTGTCCATTTCACAATTTGTCTCAGGGTCCACTCTGGGACAGCTTTTATTCCATCCACATCATTCCACTTACATCTGCCTGTGAACCACAAGCAGAAATCTGCAGCCTCCATCTTTGCATCTGTGTGTGATGATCTGAAATACAGCGGAAAGAATGCACCTGGGCTCCACCCACAGCATCACTGAGTGACTCACCTTTTGGGTAAGGTCACTGGCTTCATTGATGTACCGGTCGCGCTCCTTCTCCAGCTGAAAGATGATCTTTCTCTGCTTCTGAGCCTCCTCCTTGTAGTTCTGGATTTCTTCCTCCAGGTTCCTCTTGGCTTGTTCATGAAGCTTCACCAGTTCCACCTGCTTCTGAGTGGCACTGACTGCCTTCAGCATATTCTAAAATGAGGATGACAAAGAAGTCACATTACATTTGGGGTCAAGTTTACCTCTACCTCATCCCTAAAATAATTAGGTGCCCTATCTTTTGTATAAATCAAAATTATCATATACTTTCATTATTAAGAGCCTGTTATGTGAGTTTTGCACAAGGCACTTTGAATCCTAAACAATCACAACATCCCTCAGAAGGGGACTCTTGGGCTGGAGTGTGGGTTAAGTGGTAGAGCGCCTGGCCCTGAGTTCAAACCTCAGTACGGAAAAAAAGGTGTAGGAAGCAGAAACTGAAGGGTTGAGCTATTTGCCTAGGAGGTCATACAACAGGGAAGAGGCAGGGCCAGGATTGGAAGGCATGGCTGGCAGAGTCTGTCTGTGCTTTTCACCTTCATTCCAGCTCTAACCTTCACCTCCATGGTTAGAACAACTGAGCCCAATCACATAACTCAAGCTTTGACTATAAAGTAAGATTAAAATCAGCTTATTAAAAATGCAACGACTACACAAGTGACTCAGTGGTAGAACACTTGCCTAGCATGTATGAGACCTGGGTTCAATTCCCAGCACTGAAAAAAAAAGTTAAAAACAAAAAATAAAATACTAAAATAAGTTTAAAAATTAAAATGCAACCATTTGTGACTCATGACTGCAATTCCAGCTATTTTGGAGATGGGAAGATCAAGGTTCAAAGCAAGCCTTGGGTAAAACTGTGAGACCTTATCTGAAAAATAACTAAAGCAAAAGGGTTGAGGGCATGGCTCAGATTGTAGAGCACCTGCCTACAAAACCCTGAGTTCAAACCTCAGCACCACAAAAAAAAAAATTCGGATACACAGAATTAACATATGACCCAGCAATTCTGCTCCTGGGTATATTCCTAAAAGAAATCAAAGTAAAAACTTGTGAGAAAACAACCCAATGTGTATCAACCGATAGACATAAACAGAATATCGTACATCCATACAATGGAATATTACTCGATCATAAAAAGGAGTGAAATATTGATGCACACTCCAACATTGATGAAATTTGAAAACGTTGTTCTGAGTGAAAGATACCAGACACAAAGGTCATATAGTGTCTGACTGCATTTTTGTGAATTTTCCAGAGTAGTCAAATGCATGGAAACAGAAAGCAAATAATAGTTGCCAGGGATGGGAGGAGAGGGAAATAGGCAGTGACTGCTAAAAAGGCACAGTTTCCTTTAATGGTAATGAGAATGTTCTGGAACCAGATAAGAGTGGTGGTGGCAAAACACTGGGAAAGTACTAAATGTCTCTAGGGGTAAATTTTGTGTTCTGTGCACTTTAACCAAAATTTAAAAGTTAATACAGTTTTGAACACACGTGGATACTCCCTCACAGCTCTAGCGTCTGATTCCGTGGGCCTGGGATGAAACCAGGTACCTGTGGTTAAAGCACCAACGGGTTCTGACGGGGAGGCGAAATACTTTGGGTTGGCTCTGAGCTCCTCTGGAACGTGAAGCACCAAGCGGTGCAGCCTGGTGACCACGCTCACCATATCAGCCACAGCGCTCCCCATGGGCTTTGAAGCAGGGCCTCGTTTGCTGCCGTGTGTGGAGCTGGGGATGGAACCCAGGGTTCACTGTGCCACTGAGCTACATCCCCAGCCCTGGGCCTTCAGAGTTTTGCAACTCAGAAGAAAATATAAATGTCGGAACTGTTGGCAAAGGCAATTTTTCTGCCACATGGACTGGAAAACAGAGAGACAGACAGACAGAGAGGGTCTTCACTGGGAATGACGCAAAAACCCAGAAGGAAGTCTAACAATGGAAAAAGTTGACTGCACACTGGCAGAGTCCAGAGCTGGGCTAGACACTTAGAATACAATGGCTGGGGAAAGAATTAAAAGCACACTTTGTGCTAAAGGACAAACTGACATTAACCAAATCAAGCAAATGAGTATGGAGTGACTGCTGTGCCACTGTGTGTCCTATTGTGACAGAAAACCTTCTAGTTGTTTACCCGGGTAGATAAAGTATAAATGGATTAAATGTTATACATGTTTAAAATAAATTTTAAAATTTACATCTGATAGTATTGTTACGATGTACAAATTTATAAAATGAAGGAATGGTTTCTGGAACCATGGAAAAAAACATCGATGATTTCTTATGGAATGCTTAGTACGAAATGAGATTAGCACTTAATTATTTCCAGAGATTACCTAAACAGTGTACTTTAAGTGAAAGTGTAAGTCTATTCTGTTAACATTTGTTCAGTTCTGGAAAACACAAAAGAATGATGAAAGTCAACACTAAAAGCCATCAGGCTGCCTGGAACCAGCCTGGCCCCTTAGACACCTGACACCTGGCCGGTGGCTTCTTCATCCCAGGGGGAAATTCTTAAGCAAGAAAGTTTTGCTTCAACCCTTGAAAGTTGTCAACCTAAGTGTCGTCACTGGAAGGAAGGAAGGAGGATTTTCCCTTTAATGGAGAACCTCAACATCTTCAGGCTTCTCCAACCTCTCCTTCAGCTTTAGACCACTGTGAACTCAGAGACCAGAAGAGACAAGGGTGGAAAACAGAAATCAAACCCTCTAGCAATCCTGAAAAGCGAGGCAGAGGAACGGCTAGACATATTCTATCACCAGCCTGGCCATGTTCACATCTGACACCTCAAAGCTAAAATTTAATTAGCACTCACACTTGTAATTTTTGGATTAGCCATAGTTGTAGATTATACATATTAAATTCAACTGCTTAGGATGCCAAATAACACACCAGCAATAAAAACAGAATCCACAGAACATTCGGAAATCCCTGCTGGTTTATGTGTTAATTCTCCAAAGTCCTTTTGTGCTCACAGGCAGTAATACAGTTTCAGTTCAAGGTTTGGTTCAGTGGATGAGAGACCATAAGCTGCTGCTTGGAGGAAAATTGAGCACTATGGTTTATTCTAATCCACTTTTGTCTGCCTTAGTTTTCTTTCCCCGTACCACTGGTTCCAGGCCGATATTTTAAAGCACTAAAGGAAGACATCTATTTACCAGTGTCACTGTAACAGACGCACCTTATTGAGTATATCCCTTTCTCTCAGAAGCTCATCCATTGCTTTCTTATCAAGTTCTGCTTGTTTCTTTGAAGCATCCACCTCTAAATCACGGGGAGAAAAATAATAATAAATGTACAGTCAACCTAAGAGAGAATCTGCCAAAGCCAAAGCGCTTAACAAAAGGAAAACTGCTTTGCAGGTAACAATACAACAGCTCTCAATTGAGTAACATATGACATGTGATCACCACTGTGAGGTGAGTCTTCTGCCCACTCAATAGATGGAAACTGAGGCTTAGAGAAATTACACCACATGAACAAAACTCAACACCAAGAAGTGACAAGACTAAAATAAAAAGCCCAGTTTCTCTGACTCCAAAAAAGCCCCCACCCTTAAATCTTTTTAAACTTTATATATATATATATATATATATATATATATGCGTAGAAATACATAATAAAGTTACAAATACAGATAAGCAAAAGAGAAAAAAATTAAATCAGACAGAATCCACTTAGGAGGCATATCTCTTTTTAGTTTTTCCTATGCAAACAATGTGTTTATATAAGCATAGAGGTCTTAGTATATAAGAAAGATACAAAGACTGACAATATTTTGGTCAGTTTGCCTTTATTATAGAGTCTTTTGCTACATAGGAGATGTTAACTTTTATTTCATTGACTTTCCCAATCTTAGCTCTATGGTTTCAATGTGTGGTATTGACTCTGTACCTCCAAAAGTAGCTTTTTGTCATAGAACCATATACAAAATGATCCATGCTACACACCAGTATGAAACAACACCTTTTCTGAGATGATCATCTTAGGTCTTTTCTGGCCTTTCCAGTCTTTTCCATTGATCTGTTTATTTGGACATCATCACTACACTTTTTGATTGTGAAAGATTTGTGACACATTTAAACATCTGCTGAGGTGAATGCTACCCCATCTCTCATAGTTTCCAGAATTTTATACCAATTGTCATGTTTATTCTTCTGGTAGAACTCTAGAATCAGTTTTCAAATTCCATACAACATACCTCACTGAGATTTTTGGACATAGTAAATGTATGAATTAATTTGAACAAATTTGTATCCTTCTTGTGTTGGGTTTTTTATTCGGGGACTTGACATAACTCTCATTTCACAAGTCTTCCTTCACACCCCTCCACAGAATTCTGCATTTCATCTCATAGGTAGGTCCAGACCTACATTTTGGTAACTTAGTTTAGTTGCTATTGTGAAAAGGAGGCTTTTCCATCATATATTCTATCTGATTTTTTGTATGAAACCTTTGAGAGCTACATTTTTATTTTATAATCTGCCATTCTATTGAATTCTTGTGTTCATTCCAGTAGGTTTTTTTTTTTTTCTTTTGGTTTTGGTGTTTGGGGTTTTCTTTTTTGTGGTCCTGGGGTTTGAACTCAGAGCCTCACACTTGTGATGCAGGTCTCTACCACTTGAACTATTCTACCAGACTTTCTGTATGTTGGGTAGTTTTAAGATAGGGTCTCACTTTTTCCCAGGCAGGCCTAAAACCTGGATTCTCCTGATCTCTGCCTCCCAAGTAGCTAGGATTACAGGAGTGAGTCACTGGCTTCTGGCTCATTTTGGTAGTTTTTCAGTTTTCTTGGGTGTTGTGGTAGAGAATCCTAACATAGGGAGGTCATATGCTCCTAACCATCTAGCCAATACCACTCTGATCAAGTGCATCAAAAGAAAGAGACCCTCCAGACTCAGTGGTGCCCGTCAGTCGTCCCAGCTACTTGGGTGGCTGAGATAGGAGAATCACCTCCTGGAATTCAAGACCAGCCTGGGCAAAATAGTAAACAAACAAATGAACAAAAATCCTTAAGAAGAAATGACAATGTCAAAAATATGTATCTATAGGATAGGCAGAGAGGGAGAGAATGATGACTTAAAGTAAATATAACTTAAAGATAGAAGAACTGGGGTCAATGACAAACATTAAAATGTGGGACTGTTCTGAGGGCCACTTAGCCAGTTATGTGCTCCAATAGCTTTTATCTTATTTTTTGTTTTGGTTTGGTTTTTGGTTTTTGAGACAGAGCCTCTATGTAGCCCAGGCTGCCCTAAAATTCTTGATCCTCCTGCTTTGGTCTCCCCAGTGCTGAAATTACCATCTTAACCAGCCCATTTTTCTTTGTATCTGCATTAAAGACATTCGGTTATAAACTTGCACTGGACTATATTCATCCTAAAAGCAGAATCCTTCACACACCCAACACCTGCACATAGTCTGCATTTGATTTGTGAAATGAATAAATATAGAATTTGTCAAGATAATCTATAACTGGAATCAATAAAAGATTATTTCCTAATGTCTTAGAGGGGAAAATAACTGCACTTCCCAAAAACTTAAATGGTAAATATTTCTAATAATCTCACCTAGAGATCTAGATTTTACCTAACTTACAGTGAGGCAATGCATGTTTTTATGCCTTTATATATAGTCTAGCTCATTCAATGATTCATAACTTATGGAAGCTTGCCTTCCATTGTGAGAATTCATACTCAGAATCTCTGTCCTTAAAGCTATTTTTGCCACACCAAGTTTAATCAGTATGCCATATTTGTAATTATATTGTTATTCAGAAAATAGTAATATAGCTAGATGATAAATACATGGATTTAGTGATCACTCCTCTGTGCTAGACTAGGTCTGCCATATCGTCCCTGATCCTGTTAAGGAGAGACATTCATTTTAATGCATTCCCTATCTTTATAGACAGACCTAAGATTTTAGGTGTTATCTATCCCACTGACAAATAGTCAACACTACTTTGGGCAGGATTTACACTGTGCTTTGCTAAGGTAAGAAAGTTTTAGTCAAAGCAATGGCCTTCCATGTTGACTGGTTACCAGTTTGAAAACTTTCATTGATTTCATTTGCATGGTTTGTGTTTATACATGGAGCACTGGGCTGTCACTAATATTAGTCACTAATGTGATGCTTATAAGTTAATAAGGCACAAACTGGTTTACCTCGCTCTAGTCCCAAGATCTGATTTTTTAGTGTTTCCTTGTGCTGTTCTACTTCTGCCTTTTGATCTTCAATCTGGTGCAGTTTCTTATGGATTTGTTCTCTAATTTTGTTGAGCTTCCCAATGTCCAGGCGCATTTGATGGACTTCTTCTTCTTTGGCCTGGAATTAGTGAGAGAGAATTAATCAGGATGCTAAGTAAATACAGGGCAAGTGACTGAATGATGGTAAACTCAGAACCAATAAAAGGAAAGTCTCCCGATGTCAGTGTAAAGCTATTTCATGGGATTAAATCAAAAACCCACTGTTTGGTTTGGTTTTGAGAGAAATCGAAAAACTCTAGTCTTGAAATAAAATATTTGGCTGCATAAACTAAACATAATGAAAAATCTGATAAAACCTGATGCTCCCAGTTACCATCTAATTGTGAAATCAAGTAAGAGTGCTGAGTTGTATGCAACACAGATTTGTGGATTTTGTATATGAATACTGCATTCAAAAAGTAGTTCTCATGGACTTAAAAGTGATCTCTCTGAGGTTACTCACACGCTGTAGAATATTTAAACATCCTTTTGGACTCACAGGGTCACGAGAGAAGGGGTCATCCTTCCTCATAGTATTTCATCTATGGGTGTCCTACAGACAGGTGAACAGGATGGCATGACCAGACAAATCTACATTAAAAAAATAATCCTCACAAAAGGGAATCTCCAGATTTTTATCTATGGATGTCAAGATTGATTGATTTTTTAAATTGAAATCGAATTTACTTTAAAAAAATAGTACCATTAGAAATGAACAGAAAAGCAGTTGGGGACTCTTCTGCAAACAGTGGTTAGCAGTTCTCTTGGCCCTTGAGAAGGAAGAAACTGAGATGATCTGTTCGTATAATCCTTTGGTTATTGCTAGGGATCTAATCCTATCAGGTTTAGGGTCTCATAACAGTAAAAATCTATCTTTCCCAATGTCCCACTCATGTTATTAAAGGAGAAAGTGTGTGGACTAGTATTTTTTTACTTTAATTTCACTTAGTGGCTAATACAGTATTCTGATTTAAGTAGTCATTTAAATCACTTAAGTAGTCATTTAAGTCTACTTCAACTTACCACATTCTCATAAACAACTGGTCTTAAGAAAACCCACTCTGAACTGCCTTAAATGTTCCTCAGCCTCACAACCTAGAGTGGTTTAAGGAAGGAGACTTTAAGGGCCTTTCCAATTCTAAGATATTCTAATTCAATAGTTACTAATCTAGACCCTAAGGTTAGACTTCAAGGAAATCCTGGAAGCTCATATTTCCAGGATGCATGCAAAATAAGATGCAAGATATGCAAATAAGTGTGTGTGTGTGTGTGTGTGTGTGTGTGTGTGTGCTTTCATTAGATTCTCAATAAAGACGGTAATACAAGAAATGTTATGGGGGCCAGACACAGTGGCTCACACCTGTAACCCTAGGTACTTGGGAGGCAGAGATGGGAGGGTCAAGGTTCAAGAACAGCCCTAGCAAAAAGTTAGGAAGTCCCTATCTCAAAGAACAAGCCAGGTATGGTGACCTGTAATCCCAGCTATATGAGAGGCAGAAGGATCACAGCCCAAGACTAACTCCTGGCAAAAACATGAGACCCTATCTGAAAACTAACTAAAACCAAAGTGTCTGGGGGCATGGTTAAAGTGGTTGAACACTTGCCCTAAGTTCAAACCCTAGTACCATCTAAAAAAAAAAAAAATCACGGCTTACTGTTTAGATCTATATTTGATCTATTATTCTTGATAGCCCACTTCTTTTCTTTGTATGCCCAGCACTTTAATAGAATCAAAGTAGGAAATATAGATTTTCCTTTCACAATTAAAGGGATAAACATAGAGCTACTCTGTTAGTTACAAAGGCATATGATGTGTGTCTGAGTATAAAATGTCATCCAACATCATTTGCAAGCACTCTTTAATAAGGGAAGGGAGAAAAACCAGAAACCTCTCTTAAAATATACATTAGACAGTGCTAAAAATCATGGCTCCCCGATTGCTGGTCCATGGCCCAGGCCTCCTACCCACCTTCACCATAGGAGTAGTAAAACAGAATCTGATGTCTTCACTACCCATGCATGTGGGTGGGTCTCGCTCTGGGCATCAACTTATTTGCGAGGCTAATTATAGAAATGAGCATCTGAGCTTGCTTTGTAAGGCATTTGCATAAGCATCCAATCAATAATCAGGTTTGCCACTTTATAAAGAAGAACGGAAGGTACCAGACTGTCTGCTTCAGGCATACAGCAGTCACTGAAGGATTGCACCTGCCTCAGATGTACCAAGGCACTTAGTAGAGCTAACATGGTTTGTCCAACCAGGGGCTCCAACCACAAAGGCAAACCTCTATTCACAGTAATGAGGAAGGAAACACAGGGAACAGACATGGCGCCAGGGTTTACTTTGAGCTCCAAGGCCTTCTGCTGGTTTTCCTGAGACAGCTGCTCACAAGCCAAACTGTGTTGCTCGTTCTCTTGCTGCAGTTTGGAATTCCGCATCTGAAACTGCTCAAGTTCCTTTGCAGCTCTCTCGTTCAGGATCTGAAAGGCAGGAAAGAAAGGAGTCTGTGAAAGCATTTTAATCTGATTATAGTGTGTGCACACAGCGCAGGAGGCCGCAAACCTCCCAGGAAGATAACAGCAACCACAACTTTTTTGTCTTTGCAGGAATCATTCTTTATCCCTGATGAAAGCACTAACTCACTCAAATATGATGGATGTTAAACGGTTGAAGAAAATGATGCCTTCTAATGAATAACACAGTGAACGTAGTTTGGTTTTTGAGAGCCTTGGGAAGTCTTGTTCACAGGTGGTGAATAAATATTTTAATGCCTGTTTGCCATTCGGCAGGCTTTGCATAAGCAACAATTGCTATAATCATTTAGAATTAGCTAGAGATTCAAATGGTTTTATCAGCTCTGGAGCTCTGAAGCTGCGTCTTCCAAAGCAAATCCTGTATTAACATGCCTACAACATTTTTGTAAACAGAACTGTTCACTAACAACAACGCAGAGACGATTCTGGTCTAATCCAACTTAAGTCGAAACCATAGAACAGGCAACAAAGTGATTTACAGCTGCTTGGTTTCAGTGTCAGCTGGATTTTTCTCCTCCCTAACTTGACTATTCTCAGCAGACAAGGTTTTATAAAAACAAAGGATTATATCTTAGGAAGTCATTTATCTGGGGGAAATATTTGGGAGGTAGAGGTATAATAGCAAATGACCTGAAGGTAAAGGGAAGGGGGGTTAGCACTTTCTTCAAAATATAACTCTCCTATATGCAAAGACTACACATGAAAAGAATCATGCATTTCCCCATGAACAAAGACTAAACAAAATGTAGCCAGCTATGCTAAAGGTGAAATTTTATTTTACATGAATCTTAAACACTGCTATACAAAGCACTACAGTTTTACCCTGGTGTCCAAAAGCTCTTCTATTCAATTTCATGTTCAAAGAAGTCACATGCTATTCTCCTGGAGACTGCACTCTGTGTATTATCTATTTGAATTCAGGACTCATATAAAATTAATAAAGCAACTGACAAAGAAGTATACTCTAGTATCTATTTTTAATCAGAAAAATGCTGTATGGCCTGATGATTTTTTTAGAGATAAACCTCCTGAAAGAAAATACTTTTAAGAAAAGACTTTTCAATTAAATGAATTGCTTCTTTAAGAAATGAGAAAAGAGGCCAGGCCTGGTGGGTGGTTCATGCCTATAATCCCAGCACTCTGGTTGCTGAGGCAGGAGGATTGAGAACTCAAGGTCTGCCTGGGCTTCATAGTAAAGACCTGGTCAGAAAAAAAAGAAAGGAAGGGAGGGAGGGAGAGAGGGAAAAGAAAGAAATGAGAAAAGAAAGACCAGGCAAACTAGAATTGCTAGTATTCACATTATCTAAATGGCCATAAGAGGAGAGATGTTGAAAAACAGAAGACTATTAAAAATGTGTAAAGATTAAGTATGGTTTTCTAAACTTGAAACCTGAACCTGTTAAGAATAAATCATGTTACACACATGCAATGAAATACCATACAGCCATGAAAGTGAATAGTCTTCTATGTTCAACAGTGCCTTCTGCGATGATATCAACATTGTCCACCACCCCACTACAGTACCTACCAGCCCCATGTCTACTGAGCATTTGAAACAATACTAATGCAACCAAGGAACTGAATTTTTCATTTCTGAATGTTTAATAAACAAAATAGCTACATGTGGTTTACTGGCTACCTTATCAGACATTGCAGGTCTATAAGACTACGTGATAATACATGTTATCAACAGAATATAACAGAAGCCAGACACAAAAGAGTACATCTGGAACATGCTTCATTTTTGTGAAGTTCAAAAACAGGCAAGACTGGTGTTTGCTTAGAATTCAGAATACTGGTGTTCTTTTTCAGGAAAAGGAACTGAGAGAGAGCACAAGGGGGTTTCTGGGGTGCCAGCAATGCTCTGTTTGTTGGGGCTGAGTGAAGGTGACCAAGATGTAATCAAGTGGTGAAAATTAGTCAAGCCACACACCTGTGATGTATGTTCTTTTTTATGTGTATATTATATATCAACAGAAGGTTAGAAACTGGGCGCTGATGCTTGCACCTGTAATCCTAGCTACTTGGACTGAGATCAAAGGCCGGTCTGGGCAAATAATTCAGGAAATCCTATCTCCAAAATAACCAGAGCAAAATAGACTGGAGGCATGGCTCAATTGATAGAGTGACTGCTTTGCAAGCAGGAAACCCTTAGTTCAAACTCCAGTCCACCAGAGAGAGAGAGAGAGACAGAGAGATACACTAGCATGATCGGTAGTGAAGGGTGTCTGCTGCTTTCCAAGAAAACAAGATGCAAAACAGGCAAACCAAGGTTCCCTTCTTGGGTCCCCTGGGTTTCTCGAGCCCCCCACACCCACGCTCACCTTCTGCTCCTTCAGCTGCTGCTCCAGCCGCTGCAGCTCCTCCTTGCTCTTCTGCACATACTGCTGCAGGGCCTTGATCTCCATCTGCCGGGTGTCCATGTCCGTCTGGATCTGCTTGAGCTCTTTCTCCAATTTCTCCTTCTTCCGAGACTCCCTTGAAGCTTCGTTCTGACGATGCTGGATTTCTTGTTGGAACTGCGGGCGCACAAAGGATAGGGAGTAGAGAGAGGACCTCTTTGTCATGACAGGTCTCAGCCATTCTACCCTTCCCTCAGGTCTGTCGCGTTCAGAGCAGTCACTTTGAACCCCAAAGTTCACATTTTCAAGAATATTCTGTGGGCCTTGATACCAAAGGTCCATCCCAATGGTGGGCAACAAATTCGAAGAGAATGGTATAAAATCAACCAAATACAGAAGCCAAGAGTTCTAGGGATGATAAGGCAAGGAATTTATCCAGTTCTACACCAATGGGGATGGCAAAGTAAAATGTAGGCATTTTACTAAATATGAAATAGTGCTTTACGTGATCGAGTATTGCTAAACCAAACACTATGATGTCATCTGTGAAAAATCTCTCTTATGTCATGTTCAAGGAAGTCTCATGTTTTTCTCTTGGAGACTGCTCTTGTTTATTATCTACTTTACTCTGGCTTCACATAAAACCACTCTGAAGGATTCAGCTGGTTGGCTTTCCTATAAAGGAGAGGGGCCAAAGGAGCTACCACTTCCACTATGCGCCATGCTGGGCCCCCTGGCCTTCACAAGAGACACCTGCTGGAGCCAGAATTATAAACAGTCCCTGTCTTCGTGACTTCACAGGCAGAACTTGGACAAGGAAAAACTGCTCTCATGAGAACAAATCAGAGAAGCCAGCAGAACAGCGGGCATTTCATTTGGGCACAGGGAGATACATCTGAGAGAGGAGCAAGATGGGAAGGGACACAGGAAGGACAGCGTGTCCTCTGGAGATGGCACTCTTTCATCCTGCCTGGCGTGGTAGAGCAGACCTGATTGATGACATGCTCTGCGTCTTCCTTGGCTCGCTCCGTTTCCTGCTGCTGCTCAGTGGTCTGAGCTAAGGACTCTCGTAATTTCACCACTTCTGACAAGAGTTGATCTCGCTCCTTTGTCACTTCTTCTTTGAACCTCAGTAAATCTCGGATACTAAATAAGAAGAACACAGAAGTCAGACAAAAATGGTCATCTGCTCAGGGGTCCCTGAGCTTATTTTCCTGTGAAAGTCTACAGGTTCCCAGTGCACAATACCCAGGCCTTAAACAGAAAGTTCTCTGTCCACTGACACAGGAGATGTACTGAGATGTTTACAGAAAAGAAATACCTGTATAATAATGAGTGCAATATGATCCTTTTTTATTTTTAAGAAAATATAATTTCTATTCATGTACGAATATGTCTGGGGGTGGTGGGGGAGGCTGAATGCTACAGGCATTTTTATAAAAGCCCAGAAAAACAGATGTTATGTGATCAATTATCTCTGAAGAATCTGAAGTGGAGAGTTGAAGGGAATGAAACCTTCTACACCTCTGTGTTATTTGGATCTTTTGAAATAAGAGTATATTGTTACCATTGACTCTTCTAATTAACCCTAAGGAGATGTCAATTTAGGAAATTAGTTGTTCAATATATCCACTGGAGGGCTATGATCACAGCTATAAAGTCCAAAATGAAGCATTCACATAAGCAAAGATATGCATTGCCAAATTTCTTTCCATTCAAAGAGATTAGTTTTCCCCAAAGGGATGTCACCCAGATAAAATGTTCCCCAGAATAAAATTTGGAAAATTACTCATAATTTTAGAGAGTCTGCAGTAATATTCATTGATTTGACTTGTAAATCAGTTATCTCTGTATCTCAGAAACTATTCCATCTGACTTGGCATGACTTTGTGCAGAATTAACACTTTGTGAGAGAAAGCTCTGTGTTTAATGGGACCTCTGCAGCAGAATGAACCTAGAATGGAGCTGCTCTCAACAGGAGAAAGAGGAGGAGAACACAGGCTGCAGACTCCTTGCAGCTGACAGTCATCAAACACTACTCAAAACATGAGAGTTCATATTTGCCAACATCTTTGATACAGCATAAATATTTAATAGGGAACCTTCAAATGCATGCTCAAAGGCCTCTTCTCCATAGACAAGACCTCAACTCCAAGTAGCTATAAAGACAGACAGATAACACCCATGCCCACTGTTTATGCTAAAACTCTGAGCTTTTTAGTTCAGTCCACTCTTCTGGTTTTTATTAAAAACTCCTATCTGAATCAGTTCCCTCACACTGTCTTCAGTGAGCCTGCTAGACTATGAGTCCATAATTAAGGGATTGCATCTTCTGTTTGTTTTCCCTCCTCCGCACTCGTACTTAGAATTACCCATCAAAGTTGGACCAATACATTGAGAAAGCAGAAAAACTGAGCACAACACTAGATTTGGTTCAGCATGCCCAAGGGAGTGTGTGCCCATTCATATACTCCCCTGGGCATCTTGGGAGTGTGATGATTGGGTGCACTGCACAGTGCTAGACGCTTGCATGAAATATTAAAGGCATCTTTCTTCAAGGAGTTCACAGCCTAATGGGTCCTGTGGAAACAGAATACAGTGACTCTTTCTGTCTAGTTATTGGGGTCTAGAGGTAGAGAGAAGGTGGGAATAGATACTGATGGTGACAAAGTTGACATGGTGTTCAAAATAGGTCTTAGAGGATGAATAGGCGTTTACCTTACCATGGGGGGAATGAAAGAAAAGGCACTCCCAGCATAGAAAGCAGTGTGACAAAGGCCCGTAGGCATGAGCAGCATGGTGTGGCTCAATATGAGGACAGAGGTCACTGAGGCAGATTTATGAAAGGCATTGAACATGTTCTAGACTCAGGATTTATCCTTTGGGTACGGGTAGCTGTTGAGAGTGTTATGCTGGAGATAAGTGCATGTGTACTTCAGAAGCATAAATTTGGGAGCTGTACTAGATAAAGAGAGAGATGTCTTCCTGATGACAGGACGACCAGTAAGGAAGCTACTGCTGAATCCAGCAGAGAATAGGGAGAACAAGGCAAGGCAGTAGCATGGGCCACAGGAAGTTGGAGTCAACAAACAGAGCTTTAAGGGATGAGGGAGTGGCAAGTAAGAAGAGCAACTGTGATTTCTGACCTAGAATCTGAGCGGGTAGGAAAGCTGCAGATGGGATTGATGGGGGTGGGAGGGAGAGTGGGTGCATGGAAATTGCTGGGACTCTGGGCAAAAACCTAGCCAGTTCTATTCTACACAAGTTTGAAAGAAAGAAACCTAAAATCTTTACTCACGTGGAAACTATAGTACTGATTCTTATAGAGCCATTTGTTTAATATTACCACAAATTAGAAGTTCTTCTATGTAGAGAAAGGGAGTGTTAAAAAGAAAAAAATAGTGACAGACAGAAAACAGTGAGTGGGAATCAAACAACAAAGGAGAGTTTTGCAGAGAACCTTTCAAGAAGACACTGGCCAGCCCTTGCTGTCCATAGCAGAAGGAAGACTCTACAAAAGCAAGTCCAACATACATCAGGAAGGCTTTCACCTACTTGCTATCCTGGTCCATGGACAGTCCAGACCCCTGCTCGACTAGTTTGGTCAGGTTCACTATTTCCTCTTTCAGGGCAAGAATCGTCTCCTTAGCCTTCTGTTCTTTATCATAGGCTGAGTCCACCATCTTCCAGGCCTTTTCAATTTCCTGAATAGGCCACAGGGTAACAATGAGAAAAACCATACTGGATCCTGGATGCAAGATAAGCTAGCAGATAAAATAACACTATGACTACAGTATTGTAGTTATTTGTAGGGAAAGATATAATTTATTATACAATATACCTTATGCATTATGCATGAGTTTTTACTGTCTTCTGAATTGTTCAGCATAAGCTAATTAAAAGTGAACAACACAGTTAAAGAGGCAGACTGGCAGCTGAGCACCAGTGGCTCATGCCTTGTAATCCTAGCTACTCAGGAAGCAGAGATCAGGAGGATCACAGTTCAAAGCCAGCCCCAGGCAAACAGTTCCCAAAATCCTATCTCGAAAATACCCAACACAAAAAAAGGGCCTGCAGAGTGCCTCAAGTGGTAAAGCACCTGCCTAGCAAGCATGAAGCCCTGAGTTCAAACTCTAGTACCTTCAAAAAAGGAGGGGGGTTGGCAGGCAAGGGGTGAGTGTGGCCACAGGGTTCTACAGGATTGTTCTATCTAGGAGGATTATTTCTGATGAAGAAGGTGATAGATTTACAAAATTAAAAATGAAAGCTTATGGTGCTTTCCAAATTCAAAAAAACAATAAGCTCTTTCATATAAGAAATGAGGAGAGATACCGGCTTTAAACTGAGAGAATGAATAGAACTTCTAGATAAATTTACAAATGAAAATATATTTTGTTCTCAGGTCCTAAGTGAATGCCTGATGGATGGCAATGTAGGGTTTGGAACTCCCTGGGGAGCTGGTTCCAAACCGTACACCACAGCCTTGGCAATTCCTGTTTTCAGAAGCCCAAACCCAGACCTTCTCATCAAGTGTATTCAAGGAAAAACAAAATGCATGGCAGGGAATGGAAACCATGACTCATGCAGCTCCGGCTTCCTTACTGCTATGAGCATAAATACTTAAAAGTGAATTACAGCCATTCAAGTAAAGGAGCAAAGCACCATAAGTGTCTGCAACAGCCTTGAGTTTTGTCCTATGTCCTGCCACTCAAGTGTCTTGCAAAAGTTTGCCAAGTGGTAGGGAGGTCATTTACACAGATAAGAATCTATAAGGGTTTAGGTGAAAATACTCCACTTGTATGTTGACAAGGAATAAAATGGGTGGAAGGGAGTATTTAATTTGATAAATTCACACTCATATTATATTATACAGATTACTCTTTAGTAACCATGGTGAATAATTTAGTGATTCAAAGCAAAATGTCAGTTTCTGGGATATGTTCTTATGTAGCAGCCATAGGTATGACTTTTGATAAAATGAATGAAGGTTAGTTAAACAAAAATATAATTACATAAACTTTTTTCCAAATTATATCCACCAAGTAGAATTTTTTTTTGCAGTGCTAGGAATTGAACCCAAGACCTCATACATGCTAGAAAAGTGCTCTATCACTGAGCTACATCCCCAGACCAGCCAGTGTAATTTTAATCAATTCATGTCTTGCATTTCTTGTTTTTAAATTTATAATTAAAAAAATTTTAGCCAGGCACTGGTGGCTCGTGTCCATAATCCTAACTCAGGAAGCAGAGATCAGGAGGATCAAGGTTTGAGGCCAACCCAGGCAAATAGTTCACAGGGCCCTATCTTGAAAATACCCAACACAAAAACAGCTTATGGAGTAGCTCAAATGGTAGAGAACCTGCCTAGCAAGCATGAGGCCTTGACTTCAAACCCCAGCACTACCAAAGCCATCATAAAATGAACTAAAGCCTTCTTATATTGGTTTTTCAGCAACACACACAAAATGTCAATAGAGAAAAATTACACTTAAAAAAGAATAAATAACTTCTAAGAAAACAGATAAACCATATTTTGTACTCATCTTGGAAGTTAATTTGAATTGAATGACATCTAATTGTATATTATTAACAGAATTACCTAAAATGTTTATAAATTATTTCTTATAGCTGGAGTTTTAATTATAAATTAATATGTCTCAACCTCTTATCATCCTGATATCAACATGGAACAGTTATGTTTTGTCTTCAAAATAACACAGCACACTTAAGGATGAAAAATAAAAAGTCACACCTCCTCAGTAGTCCCCCAGACTGAATCCCTGGTTTTTCTGTTAGAGGAATTAGAAAGATGAAGGGAGAAGTAAAGGGGTACCAAAAAGAGAGGCCATGAAAATTACTATCAAATTATTCTCTCCTGAAGCAGGAAGAAAAGTAGAAATATAAAAATATCTTTAACGAACTATCAGATGTGTCATTACTCATCTTACATCAAATAAGACATACTGAGATTCCTGTTTTTGCATTTACTTATCTCTAAGTGTTTTTTGCTAACCCATTATTTTCCAGACACCAAAGCAGTAAAGTTCTCCATTACTTTCTGCATGGTGAAAACTCACCTGGGATAATTATTTTCTTTAAAAATGAACACTATTTCCTAAGCTTAAAGAATACATAAATCATCCAATTTTTTAACTAATAACTCATTTACTACCAGCCTAGAGCTTCCAACACAATGAAAGAATGATGTTTGAAGTTCAAGTCCATCCTTTTCTAGATCACTGACCTTCTTCAGGGACACAATGGTGGTCTGGTCATCCTGGGAGAGCTTTAAGGCAGTAGCAACCTTGGCAGAATTCACCACGATCTCTGCGTTCAGCTCTCTGCATTTGGCCATCAGACGCTTTTCATTGTCATAAGATTTTTTCATGACAGCATGAAGCTTCTCATATTCAATCCTGAATTTTTCCAGACTTTTATCTCCTGAAAGTTCCCCAAGAACCTCTTGAAAATCTCTTTCGATTTCCTCAAATGCAGTTTCTTCCAGCACCGCTTTGTCACTCTTTTCCTGTATAAAGAGCAGCAATGGGAGTGGCATTGTGTTACTCCATTGCTATCAGAGAATTACTGCCCCTGTCCCTGAATGAACAACTGTCATATAAGCAAAGCAAATGCCACTGGCAAGCAGAAAAATCAGGGTGATGTGATGGGAAGTTTCCCTTTTCATTTCCTGATGCATTTGTGCATCTTATATACAAAGATAAAATTAGTTAAGATGAGATCGGTAAGGTGGGCCCTAATCCAATATGAATAGTATTCTTTAAAAAAAAAAAGAGGTGAATTCTGGACAGAGACAGACATAGAAGAACTCAGGGAGAACATGAAGATGAACTGGATTGATACAGATGCATCCTAGGAAGGCTAAAGATTGCCATCTCCTACCAGACTAGGACGAAGCAAGGAAGGGTTATACTCAAGTTCTCAAAGTTTGCAAAAAGACCTGCTGAAACCTGGATTTCACACTCTGAAAACTAAAAGACAAGAATATTTTCTGCTGCTTTAAGCTACTCAGTTGGTAGTACTTTGCTGTCATTTTTATTGTTGTTTGTTTTGTTTGGCAGTACTTGGGTTTGACTTCAGGGTCTCATGTTTGCAAGAGCTCTACCATTTGAGCCATACCTTAGTCCTTTTGTTTTTAGTGTGTTTTTCAGATAGAGTTTTGTGCTTTTGCCCAGTCAGCCTCAGCCCACCATCCTCCTACCTCTGTTTCCGGAGAAGCATGGACTATAGGTGGGAACCACCACACTTAGCTAGTTTGTGGTATTTTGTTATGACTACTCTAGCAAATGAAAACCTACTTCTTCTTAGGTAAATAATTAATAATAATAATAATGAAATGTATGTTTAGTATATTTAATTAATTCACTTAGCAAATACTTACTAACACCTGCTATATGTAACTTTAGTGACAGAGCCTGTAGGAGATATCAAAGTAAGAAATAAACAGCCCATCCACAAGGAGTTTATATGTTACTACCTGTTGGCATATGCTATGCAGGTCATGTGAGTATAAAATTTGGGCCCTCCCTCCCATAAAATACATTCAAAATTCTATTAGAAGAGAAAATTACTCCCAGCAGCACGAATAAAGCACACTTCATAAAGAAGTGGCATTTGAGCAGACCTAGAAGGAAAAGGGGAATTTTCACAGGTGGAAGTGGCAAAAGACATTCCTGGCAGAGGGCAAAGTTTGAGCAGAAGTTTGAGCAACAAATATCCAGGTTGGCTAATGTATAAGAGGCATGACAGAGAGGAGACTAGCTACAGAGCAAGGGACAGACTGAAGGCACAGAATGACATTTTAAGGAGTGTGGATCACATTATTCTGTGGGCCACACAAAAGCACTCACGACTTTTAAGTAAAGGTGCAATAAGGTTCACAAAGCCTCATTTATGCTTGCAAATTTATACTTTGATATTCCACACAAAAAAAGGCTTAACTTCAATACTCTACTGCTAATCACAAAAACCAGCTACTATGATCTCTCATCTCAATTACAAGTCCAATTCACCGTGGAGATTCTGGGCAAGTAGTCTGTTTACTTCCTGCTTTGAAAAGCCTGTGTTGCCCAATATGGAGAAAGTCTACACATTTTTAGTTTTCAAAAGTACTTGTACTATTAAATCTCTAAAGGTGGCATGACATAAAACACAGTCCTTGGAGATTAAAACAAATGCAGAATCAAATGTAGAATTTTCTACAAATGTAGAATCAATTATACTTTGTATAACAACTTCAGTACTAATTTTAAACTCAACAGGGGTTTGCCTCAGGACTAAAAGATCATTGCAAAGAACACAATATAGCAGCTCAACAAAGGAGGAAGGGAAATAAGGTGGTGCTGCTCCTTGCTTCCCTCTTGTTGATACTAAACATGAGTGCACACAAAAATTTATCACAGCAATGTCCTAGGTTCCATCCTTGTAAGTGATATTAATGTCAACACGATCAGCAAGCCAGGTTTTCTCTGTATACCTGGCACCTAGCACAGAAACGGAAAAATGTCAAAGAAGGAAACATTCTGAAGAAACTTTTATGAACAAAAGAAATTTTTCAAATGGTCATTAAAAAACATACTATTATTAAAAGCAAAGCAAAAATAATCTCTTAGCCATGACCAAACCAGTAAGCACTTTGTGTCTACATTATTACCATATATAACCATGTATATTTCATAAGCAGCACATCAACATGAATTGATGGGTGGAACGGTGTCATTTCATCATTCATCACTAGGTGCCAGGCACTGTTCTAGGTGTTGGGAGTACCAATTTGTGGAAAAAAAAGGAAAAGTCACAGTATAAGATGAGAACAAAATAGAAATAGAAAAGCAGAGGCTAGGAGATGTTGGCTGATATTGAGTAAACGGAAAAATAGAAAGAAATGAGGAGATAATGAAAGGAAAGGAAGAATGGGAAGTAACTAGTTCACAGTATTAATACCTGGGGCTCACTCATGGAGATCAAAGAAGAGTGAAATAAAACACTCAAAAGCAAACAATGGAAAATATTTAGGAAAACTAGAAGGACCAAGAGGAGAAGATGGAAAACAAGGAGATATGGAAGAGAGATGTGATGTGGCCACAGCAGCATGAATGTCAGAGGAAGATGAGGGCACTCAGGCCCAGGTAGTGTGGGTGATGGAGGGTTGATAAGGAAGGGACAGAGACATTAACCACAGAAAGTGGAGGCAATGGAATGATTACATGATGTAGATAAAGGAAACAAGGAAAGCAGTAGGGACCGGGCATGACTGCTGAGAAGCTGGGACCAGGGCTGGCTTCACAAGCCTGAGTCCCATTCAACTGCTCAGGGTTCAGTGTTCAGAAGAGCCCTGTCCTTGGCTGATGCTCTGCTGCGATGTCTTAAAGTTGTTAATAATATTGAAGCTTTTCAGTTTGCACAGGGCCTCACAGTCCATGTCCATGTAGTGGAAGCTGACAGGAGCTGACTGTGTAATGACTGAGGTTGGGGAGGGCTCTGATGGGGCAATGAGGACTTTGTATAAGGAGGGCCATGGTGGTTAGGGACTGTGAATGGCAAGTGATGCCAAGGACTTGAGGCTGTTGAGATTATAAATGAGAGGCCTTATGGGCAGCTGGAGGGTCACTAAAGGATTGCAGAAATGACCCTTTGTCGAGTAAGGCTGGAGATGGATGTGCTATAATGTAGGGATGATTGGAGGTTGTATGATGTCAACAGGGGTCAGTGACAACACAGGGCAGTAGTGATGGGCCTTAATGAAGATGTGTGACGGCCGGTGATCATAGGTTAAGGAACCAGGGTGTGACAGGTGGACAAGAGTCAGTAAGTAGGGGTGACAAGTATCTATGAAGCCTTCTTCTAGGTTTCCCCAGTCAGAGAAGACTTCTTCAGTATTTCTCTGCGTACCTCTCTGTGGTATCACTTTATGATTTGAACTCTAGGGATGGCTGCATGTCATGTCTGGGTCTGGAAACTCAGGAAGGAAGGAGAGGTAATGGGGCCAGAGCCAACAGAGAAAGGCAGAGGAAATGAGGGTGCAAGTAGAGATAGGCCACTAATGGAGGACTATCAGAACTAATGGATGTGACAGGAAGAGTAGTAGGAGAGGAATGACAGGGAGAAGTAGAGAGAGAGGTGAGAGATCGGGAGGCCCTGACTCCTGACCTCGGCCATCCTGACGCTCGGTGGGGGCGGCCTCAAAGGCTGCTGTAGAGATCGCAGAAACTGGGACGGAGTCAGGAGAAGGGGCTATGCACTGCCCCCAATGTCTAAAACGGCGACACGTTATCTGTATCGCCCTCCCGGGGCGAACCCCCCCACCCCGCCCCGCGCTCGGCGCGTCCTCCGTCGCCTGGCAACCGCCACGCCCCCAAAAGCGCCTGCGGACTTCGAAAGGGGTGGAGCCTCAGAGGAGGGCACTTACTCCTCTGGAGAAATATGCAAATATATCCGGAATGGGGCGGGCCAAGGAAATGGGCGGGGGTGAGGGGAGGTCTCTGAGAAGCCTTCAGGAATCCCCAAGTGTGGGAAGAAGACCCCTAAGAAAAAGGAGTCCGGGCGGGTTGGGCTTCAGATGCAGAGTTGTACTCATCAAACTCCTTAGTTCACAAGACTCCTTTCTGGCTTTATTTTTTTTTTCCTTTTTTTTTTTAATCCCCATCCCTGTTCCCAACCTTCATTCTCAGCCCCATAGGCATTCATGCTACTGTGCTTGGATAAGCATTTTTGAGAAAAGATACTTGGATAGTATTTTATCAGTGTATTTAAAAATGGGTATGTTTATTATCTACTTCTTCACTCAACTCTTTTCAAGGATCTGTCTATGTTTGGTGTGGTGATCACATTCATTGCTTCTGATCGCTGCACAGCATTTTGGGAAGGGATGGGGGTAGTGAGGGAGGGCCTCAGAGTACAGCTCAGGCTGGCCTCCAACTCGCTGCATGCATAACATTTCAAATGGACCGTCCACCACGTTTTATTTCCATTCCCCAAGCGTTAGACAAGAAGGCTGCCTCCAACTCTCCAAAACCACAAACTGCGCAGCCAGGACTGCTTTTGTCCATAGTCCATTTTATTAACGTATGTGCCAATTCCTTTTAAATACATGTTTAGGAATGAGACTGTGAACGTCGTGGGGATGCATGGACCCATTACATTCAGGCAAGATGCGTCCTACACAAAGAAATCCTGCCAAGGGACTATTGGGGGCTAAAAAACAGCTTTCACTCTTTTCCCATGCGGTGCGCCCTGCTAGAGGAGGACGTGCCCCCTGCCTTGCCCCCAAATCCCTTCACAGACAAAAGCTCTGTTTCTTAGCCAAGTCATGAACCTGGAAGGATGTGATTATCCCCACACTGCCTAGCAACACAAAGGTGCCTACTACCTGGTGGAAGCCCTGGTCACTTAACTGCATCAAGTACTGGTAGACTGGGTCTCAGAATCACAGCCCCGCACTACACACTACTGTGTTGTACAAGGGTTTGTGTGCCAGATTCCTTGTCTTGCCAGAAAATGGTAGTTTATTTATTCATAAACGTGCATGCAGTGTTTAACAAGTATTAGACACTGTTCTAAGTGATTTACAAATACTGACTCATCTAATTAGCCATTTTTCTAGTTTCTGTCATTACGGCGGAAGAAGTGCCAGCACATTTTTGCTTTCATTTTCACTTTCTCTGCTAGATACATCCTTTAAGTTACTTGGGATTTCTGTGAATTGCCTATTCATAGCCCTTGCCTGCTTTCCTATCAGTCTCTTTCTTCTTTTTGATTTGCAAGACACCTTTGTAAAGTCTGGACATTAATCTACCTTAAAGGCTGGAAATTTTTCCTTTATGCTCTTTGTGTAACAATAATCCTTAATTTTGACAGTGTAACTCTTTGTCTTTTTTCCCTTTTTCTTTTATTTATTTTACTTTTATATACCTTTTCAGTGTGGCTTAGTCTTTCTCAACCCCCAAGGTTGTAAAGGTATTCTTCATCTACTCAGTGAGCTTCATCATTTTACCTCTTCATACTTAGTTTTCTAATCTATCTTCAGTTGACCTTTGTATTTGGTATGAAACAGTGACTAAGGCAAAGCTACTGACTTTTGCATTCATAGTGTGAAATTGGGGGAAAGACAAAAAAGTGCATCCACAATTAATCATAATGAAATATTATGTATTGTTTAGTAAAATGCCATGTTGACAGAAAGCACCATGAGAGCTTAGAGAATCTAGACACTGATACCGCAGAGCGTTATTTATGATATGATAAAGACCTCCACACAGGCAATCAGGGAACCACGAAGAGGCAGAAAGGCATGTGACATGTTTAATTCACAGGAATGAGATGCTGTTGAGTGGAAAAATGGGTGAAAGGATGAGTGGTAGGACAAATCAGTTGATGATGATGAAACAGAATGTTTAATTTCCAGTTGTCTGGTGTATAGGAGAGTAGTCACCACCCTGTTCACAGGTTCTGTTCCAATAAAAAGAAGCACTAGGGGGCAGCATGGTACCAAAAGTCCTCACCTTTCAGAGTCTCAGGAGAAATACCCACCAAAATTATGTCAGGCCCCAATTTAGACAAATCAGAGAGCTTTCATTAATCTCATTTCTCGTTATACCCACCTAGTTTGTTTCCCGAACACCTACTATATGCCCAGTCCTACAATGCCTAGTGCGAAAAGAATACAAAAGTTGTTGAAGACAGGACCTCTCCCTGAAGGAGCACGAGGAGAAGCCAAACACGTGTGCCACCTATCCCACAGCCTTCTAAGACCGCCAAAAGTGGAATATAGTAAGCATTTAAATGAGGGTGTCAGGACAGATGGTCCTGTGAAGTCTGACCCTTTTGACCTTAATTCCTTGACAATGTTGTTTTCTTTCCCACTGCCTGGAATTCACAATGTTGATTGCTGTGGAATATTGGACCCTCTCTTGGATGACTCCCATCTATCCTTTCTTCAGATCTTTACTCCTCAGGGAACTCTTTCCTGACCAGCCTCCCAACACAAGACTACCTTTTCATACATTGTGTATTCTACTTCTTGGACCATCCCAAGATGGTAGATGGTAATGAATGATCTAGTCAAGTGAATGGTTGTATAATCTCTGCCTGCTCTACCAATAACAAAAGACAAGGATCACATATGTCTTGTTCAGCTTTGAACCCACTGGTACTGGGTTTACGGGTTGAATCCTATCCCCCGCACTACCACCACCCCCAGAAAAATTCATATATACTGAAACATTAATCCTTCATACCTCAGAATTGTTACATTTGGAAACAGGGTCCTTTAAAATATAATTAAGTTAAAGTGACGCTATTAGGGTGAACTCTAATCCAATCTGACTTGTATCCTTGTAAGAAGAAATTTGGACACACAAAGACACACCAGAAATGTGTGCACAGAGAGAAAAGTCAAGGGAAGAGACTTTGCACACTTGCTGATACCTTTATCTTGGGCTTCTACCCTCCAGTACTTTAAGGAAATAAATTTCTGAGTTTTTTAGGACACCCACTCTGTGGTACTATGTTATATCAGCCCTGGCAAACTAATATAACCAGCCAACACTGGTCTGAGTAAATAACTATGGAGTGAGTGACTATTGAATGAGTTCTGAAATAAGGAAATGAAGGATGGCATACTAGGAAAAGGTAATTGGTAGACATGACTCTTAAACTTGACGTTAGACAATAAGAGTTAGAGACATGGAAGAAAATAGAAGTAATCCCAAATATGGGAAGTAGCATTGGGCAGAAACCAAGGCAAGACTGCAAAATCCTGCTGTAGGGAGGGTGAGGTCCCTATTGGGAACCAGTGGTCATTAATATTGATAAGAGAGTATAGTGAGTAGTAGAGAGCTTCAGAAGAATAGCAAAGAAATGGCCACAAACTCAAAGACCAGGGACAGACAAGGATACACCCATTTGTTCTGCCAGACGACTCAAATATGTGATCACGCGCTGTAACACCTGTGCAGAGCTCCTTGTTTAAACCTGGATACAATACCTCGCAGTGGCCTCCCAGGACTTCAAAGTGGTGGCTGTAACACAGTAGTAAAAACAGTATTATGTACAGAGCTCGTCATCTTCAACAGCACCTAGTGAGAATATAAAGTAAACCTCCAGAAAAGCGGAGCCAGTGACTTTGCAGCCCTACATACGAATTCCCAACCTGCATGCAGAGCAACTGTATCCCAAAAGAACCACTCGTCTCTAATGGGAAGAGTCTACATAACCCACCTTCTCCTCTGAGACTAGTAACTCCCACCAACAAGTGCATGGCTCTCTGAAGCCAGAGGCTCCAGGAAGCCCTACCTACCTCCCCAGGACCATAACTGAGAGGGTCTCCTGTGAAGAGACCAACCCTATTGTTATTACTCTATTATTATTTCCTTAGAATTTATATCTAGGATAAAGAGTTGCTAGTCAATCTTCACTGGGGCCTGGAACTGAACATGTAAAGCTTGGAGAGGTAGAGAAAGGCAGGCTACAGGCAGGGAAGAAGGAAGCAAAATGAATGAGGAGAAGCTACAGACCCAGAAGGAAAATGGCTGACATCGGCCCAGCAATGTCTGCTCTCTTGGATTCTGTTACGTACTTTGTATCCCCCTGACAAATCACGTTCTTTGTTTCGGCTAAAGTGAGTTTTCACTGCTTATATACCACCCCTCTCCAAAAAAGAAAGTCCTGACCAACTCAGGTTCTGTTTGCACAAGTATTTTTATGATATCACTGGATTTACTATCCATGGAATCTAAAACACATTTGGGGCCCCAGATGACACGGAAGGAATTGCTCTAGTCATCATGTCTAACATTTCTCCTTCAGGCTATTGGGAAGATTAAAAGCCCGCGTGTTACAGAAAATTGTTATCATTTATCAGCCGGCCCTATGGTCACCTTAGATGACAGAGCAGATTCCCAACTGGCTCGTGCTCTCTGAAACTGTGCGGGGCATATTTTATTCCTTTAATCTCCTCCTTTTCCAGTCTGCTGCAGATCTAACTTAACAGAACATTTGCTGAGCATTTGACACCACTTCCCAAAGGGGCTCTAGATAAACTTCCCTCTTGATACTGGAGGAGGCAGCGAGGCTCAGGCAGATTTATTAGGAAGACGGGGAGCTCAGGTGCGTGCAAGGCAGCTGTATTGAGGGAGCGGCCACTGCAGGTGAGCATTTTACTGGAAGAAGAGGTCAGTAGCATTATCACCACTTGGGCATCTCAGCTGCCTGGAACGTGGTCAGTTTACCAGCAGCTGCTCTTCTGTCAGATGACCTTCAGGCACAATATGAC